ACTGATTGATAAGTGACGAGATAATGGGACGTAGTCGTACACTTTAATCCCTAACTTTTGCTTGGACTATCTTTTCAAATTTTCAGTCCACCGGGATACTCTTTTTTTGCTCAAGCCGCCTTTTCAGGTTTTCGACTTACCGGGTGTACATATTTTGTTTTTATCCCTAATTTTTGCCTGAACCCTTTTGGTTCGTCGGGATGCCCTTATTTTTTCCTAGGCCAGTCAACCTAGCAGATCTTTGTTCATGCGTAGTATTTTCTGACTATGTCCATGTTCACCGGGTATGGAGAATTGTCACTGTCCATAGTAGTAAGTGTTTCCACACTTCCAGAAGATGCTCGTTTGATCGTACATGATTCGTTGCTGGAATTCATGTCCAAATCCCCAAGTGATTCAAATGGAGATCTGCCCCTGGCTATTTGGCATCTTTGAGAGATTCCTTGAATCTTGACTTTACTAACCCAGATCAGCTGGACATCATGCTATTCCCCTTGATTATGAAAGGCCTATCAATGGAATTTCTTTCTGTCCGAGGTGATTCTGTTCATTGAGAAGATCTTTGTTCACTGAATATTTGTTGTGCGAATTTCTCTACTGTTGAACAAATAGTCATATGCAAACAATGGCATTTTAAGAATGTAAAGCTTATGTCTGTCTTGAAGTTTGAAAATTCATTTTTTAGTAAAACAAACAAATTTTGTAAAAGTGTGATATCAAATCGGGATTTATAGCGAACCCTACAGGAGTCAGGATACCTTTTGTAACAATATGCTTTCGAACTAACCCATGCTTCAGCTAGGACTTTTGAGGGTTATATCGTGGCTTGGTTCACGGTTTAAGAAACAAAGGATAAAGGATCAAAATTTATTTGTACCCACCCATTCTTCGTGATGTTCTTCAGTCCTATGCTCGTCTAGTTGTGCAGATCCCCATTGAGTCTGGCATCTTGTCCTTGATGTTCTGATGATGGTTCGAATATTGAAAGTTTTTTTGGAAGAGGCAGTCATTTTGTAATCTTTTTTTTTGTCGAGGATTGGTAGGACCTATTTTTTTATTATTATCCCTTCTTTTGTCTGAACTGTTTCTTTTGTGATTACAGCCTGCGGGATTGTTGGATTTTGAATTCGACACCTACTATATATTGGCCCAATAGACCAAAAATAGAGCGGATAAAGCCAAGCTGGAAAATGCTTCAACAGATGGAAAAAATTAGAGAAAACATCTGAGTTACAAATTGGTCTTCGACCAGACATCACCATCAAGCCTTCGACGGGAAAGGTCCTGTGACCTTCGACTTGAAGAAAAAACCTTCGTGTCAGCACCAAAGACGAAGGATATTTGAATTTGAAGATTGGAGGGAAATGCAGTTCGCTAGCAGTTAAGGGAAAGCGACGTGGCAGGAAGATAGAGGTCGAGGGACATGCGGAAGACACTTTTCTTCATCCTAGAAGCAAAGCCACCCTCTATAGTTACATAATTTTAGTATAAAAATAGGAAGTTTGCGTAGAGTTTCCGTGTGTTCAACCTATTGTGCTAGTTACTCAATATTATTCAAGTACCCGCTGTGTGTGAAATAATAACTGAGAATGTACGTTGGAAACACCATTTTTTATTAATAAAGTCTTTTTACATTGCCTTGATCTTCTTTTGAAAAGTTTACATTTCTGCATCTTTACCTGCACTTCCAGTTACTTTCTTACTTTCCAAAACCACAAACACAATATCCTTGGTCGAACGTGCGTTCTTCCTAGATATTAACTTTCATATCAAACCAGCATAAAAATTAGCATATGTTCTGGGATCAATATGATCGATCCCGTGAGTAACTAAAAGGACTTTCCTTTTTGGAGGATCAACGGTTGTTTACCAAAAAGCACGGTAAACAAATTGGCACGTCTAGTGGGACGTTGCTATTTTTTATCATCTGTTTGTTCATGTTATTGCTTTCCTTTTATAAGTATACAGTGTTGCATGTTATTAAGAAGGGGTAGAATAACCAACGAGCATACTGTTAGAAAGAGAAATAGAGAAAGTAGAATGGCTAATGAGCCAAATCATGGAGAAATACCTCCACCAAACACTACTGGAACAACGGTTATAACTACCGTTGGAGAAAATATCTCCACTTCTGTTGGGTCGGTACCAATGTTAACCACGAATCAAACAAGACCCTTACTTTCGTATGTAGGTCCTAGAGGTCCATTAGAAACACCCCCACCAAGGAAAAATCCAGGATCTCGACCATATGTTCCCCCAAGATTTTCGACAGCCTGGATGGGTCGAGAACAGCCATATGGCATGCCAACCACTAAAATAGCGAGCCTTATGAAGGTTGTGTCTACTTTTTCAGAACCTGTGGTGATTGCATCATCACCATTAGATGGATCTGGAGCCAGTATGGCAAATTTGGGTAGAAACCAAATTTTAGGAGGACCATCACATGCAATACAAAGCCTCACAAATGCTTCTACAACAATTTTGAGGCAACAGATGGATGAAAGCAACCATGATATGGTGCAAATGTTGGCACAAACCCTAAGTACAGTGCTGAACCCCCTAATACAAAATACTACCCAGTCGAATCAACAAATGGCAGCACAAATGACGCGCATGGCTGAATTCTTTGGGGTACCCCAAACTATTCGACAACCCCAAATAATACCAATAAGAGTAAACCAATGGGTAATCGTGGAAGAAGATTTAACCGTTAATCAAAATCCACATATCCCTAGAGTAGAAATAGAAAAACCTAGGGTCGAAATACCTCGAAATCCCCCACCGATCCCTAGAGATGTCGATCAAGGAGTGATTATGGTGAATAGGAACCAAAATGCTGATGAATTGATACAACAAGTTCGACACCAAAATTATGGAACAAATAATAACTGACTGCCATGATCGAAAGGATTATGATATAGAATGGGATGAACATTGGTTTTCACAGACCAAACTTCACATCCCCATTGTCAGAATATATCCTACAAACAGACCTACCCCTAGGGGAAAAGTCCCCAAGTTTACCAAATTTTCAAGGGATACGACAGAATCCACTGTCGAACATGTGGCGAGATATTTGATAGAAATCGGGGAAATAGCAAACAACAAAAACCTTAGGATTAAATACTTCCCAAGTTCTCTAACAAAAAACTCTTTTACTTGGTTCACTACCCTCCCAGCCAATTAGATCCATAATTGGAATCAATTGGAAAGTTTGTTCCATGAACAATTTTACATGGGACAGACCAAAATAAGTCTAAAAGAACTAGCTAGTGTGAAGAGGAGATTCACTGAGCCAATAGATGAGTATCTAAATAGGTTTCGACTGCTTAAAGCCAGATGCTTTACCCAAGTGCCTGAACATGAATTGGTCGAAATGGCAGCAGGGGGCCTGGATTATTCCATTAGGAAAAAGTTAGATACCCAATACTTGAGAGATATGGCCCAGCTGGATGATAGAGTTCGACAAGTAGAACACCTTAAAGCCGAAAAGGCTAAAGCAGCCAAAACTCATCGAAGGGAAAGAGTAGCCTATGTCGAAATGGATGATGATGATCCAGAGGCGTCTAGTGATCCTATAGATGTCGAAGAAGGAGAGATAGATTTAGCAGAATTAAAACAAGGGCCGCCATACTCTTGCAAATTGCTAGTGCCCTCAAATGGGAAGAATCATGTGGAGTCTGAAAGGAACAGTGATAAATTCCCAAAGAAAACACATAGTTTTGACATCACTAAATATGATGAAATATTTGATTTATTAGTCAAAGATGGCCAAATTATAGTGCCCTAGGGGCAAAAATGCCTCCTTTAGAACAAAGGAAGAAAAGAGGTTTTTGTAAATATCACAATTTTCTGGGCCATAAAACCTCATAATGTTTTCTTTTCAGGGATCTTGTTAAAGGAGCACTCAAAGAAGGAAGACTTAAGTTCGCTGATAAGCCGAGGTTGCACCCCAAAATTTGCCCTCCTAATTTCTTTTATTCTTGGCTTATACTTTTGCATTCATCTGCATCTATTTCATTAGGTCACTAACATGGCATACATTTCATTCAATATAGCTCTGAGGTTCAAAGTTCAATGGTTGTGCGATACTAGGGATTCACAGTGGTTGAGGCGCTCGTATCCAATAAAGGATGATTTCTTATTCATGCAACAAGTTTTGGAATTAGGTTTTTTTAGGCTCATTTCTGGACTTCTTCTCCACCAAGTTACTGGGCTAATATCTTTTGATGAACAACTGGTTGTAGGTCATTCTGGTCAAGAACTCTAGGACGTGACCTAGCATATGTGGACTTTGAAGCATGGCATCCTTTCCTATAAGTATGCTTGTCATTTGATTAGGATTAATGACTGTGACATGACATTCATCTACTCCTCAGTTAATCAATTTAGGTTTTGTTGAATCATGGTTCAAAGATGTTTTATCCGGATATTTCTCTGTGCATCTAAACGGGGAATCAAGATCGTGAGGTGTGGTTAACATGATTTCTTTCTCTTCAAGATATAATTGCTTTTATCCAGTCTTGGCAAGTGCTGGGGTTTTCATTTGTGCAACTAGGTTTCACGTCAAGGGAATTATTCTGTGATTCAGACTTTATCATCCCTCTGTAAGATGTTCCTTATGACGCTAATTTCAAGTTGAAATAACCGATCGCTAAGGGATGGGGATTGAATTGTGAAGCGTCGTTCGTGACCTAAGATATGAATTCATAGATTTCTCCTTAACCAAGGCAATCATTGTCCTCATCATTGTCATTTGTTATCTGCGATGCGACTAGGTTGAGATTGAAGTGGGTTTCTCAGGAAAGAATTCATGCAAGGTAATTAAAGGTTCAAGGCATTCAAGGCAGGGTTTTGTTCAACATGGCATACCTGGTTGATGGGCTTACAAGCTCTTATGAGACCTTGAGATGCATAATCATGGGCCAAGTTCAAAGATACGAGGATAAGATCTGTTGACTTCGGTTAAAGTAAGCTTTGAACAATTAACTTTGGGGCCAATGTTAACTTTTTCACATCGTTGCATCAAGATCAATGTTTCAACTGCAAGTATGAAGCAAGGGGCCTTTGATATTGAATGGGGACTTGATGATCTCATTGATATTAAGTGTCAGTTGTTTCCAAGTAGTGGAACGGTCATCATAAAGATTAATGTAATATCAAGGAATGCAGATCAGTTAGATCATGTAAGCGACACTTCAGGCATTGAGGAATTGGAGATTGCAGTTATTGATTCCAATTGGGCCCTGATACATAAATAGATCACATCTCTTAATCTAAAATACTTGGCTATTTGGAACGTCATGCTTAATATGGATGTAGAAGATACCGATACTAAATCGGGTGGATCAAGATGCTACTTTCCTAATTTTAGGAGCCTTTTGATGAAGTCATATATCCTGAAGGGGACCCAGATGCTGTTTCTCTAAGCAAGAGAGATTTTGATCTATTACAACCTGATACATTCATTAATGACACAATAATTGACTTTTACATCCAGTATCTGAAGAATCAGATACAAGAGGAGGAAAAACCGAGATTTCTTTTTTTTAATAGTTTTTTCTTTCGAAAGCTAGCTGATTTGGACAAAAATCTATCTAGTGCTTCGGATGGAAAAGCAGCATTTCTACGTGTTCGTAAATGGACAAGAAAAGTAAATTTATTTGAAAAGGATTACATCTTCATTCCTGTGAACTTCAATCTTCATTGGAGCTTAATAGTCATATGTCATCCTGGTGAAGTGGTTAATTTCAATGATGAAGAGTTGGCCAACTCGCTTAGAGTACCCTGTAAATTACATATGGATTCTATAAAAGGAAATCATAGTGGTCTGAAAAAACCTGCTGCAAAGTTACTTGTGGGAAGAATGGAAAGAGAGACATAAAGATGAACCGGAAGAAGACCTTTCAGCATTATTTTCAAATTTGCGTTTTCTCCCCCTAGCGTTGCCACAGCAGGATAACTCATATGATTGTGGCCTCTTTCTGCTGCACTACCTAGAGCTCTTCCTTGCCGAAGCTCCTCTTACTTTCAATCCATTCAAACTAACCAAGTTTTCCAATTTTCTCAATGTAGATTGGTTTCTGCTTGCCGAGGCATATCTCAAGCGAACACTGATCCAGAAGTTGATTTCCGAACTTGTGGAAAATCGTGATTCACGTGAAATCTCGTCCTCAGACTATAGTGATGACCCCCAGTACATAGAAAATAAAGAAAACAGAATCTGCATTGAGCATCCTGAAGTCAACAGGGAGTCAAAAATTTCCTTTGATGGGCAGGGAATAGAAATGACTCTATTGTCTGGATCATCGTCTTTGGATCCTCAATCTTTTAACGACCCAGGCATGGTTCTTAAGGACCTCTATGAGCCAGGTGCTTCAGCGGCAACATCGGCACAGTGCCATTCTTTTGACCAGCAACCATCTGATTATCGTTTCAATAATTCGATATTTTCGACGGAGGAAACCTCCGATCTTGGGGAACAACTTATGTACTTAGCAACAGATACCAACTTAGCCACATATACCAACTTCCAGCAAGTAGCTGAAGTTACACCTCAAGCATGTCCTTTGCCTTAGCTTCTGAGGGATTGTGGAAATGGGACTAATCACATACTAGAAATCTCTCTGTAAGAGGATGTGTCATCTCCCAGCAGTTCCGATGATACAGAAGACATAGGGATCCTTCTAGTTTTAAAGTTAAATGGAAAATTTGAACCCAATACAAAAGCAACCAGTTCAGCCCTGCATAGAAAGATTAAAAAGCAAAAATCAATAAACAGTTAACATTTCAATTCTAAGAAATTGTAACAAAACAGAATGCAAAATTTTCTAACTAACTCTAAACAGTTACTAACTCCTAACCAATTCTATAACCAACTTTTCATTTTTCCCAATAACCTAACAAACCTCCTAACCGCTTCTAACAGATTTTTAAACATTCCCTAAACCATTTCCTAAAACAGCCCCATAACTAACATTCAATAACAACCCAAAATAGTTACAGCAAAAACTAACTCAACTGTAACCAGCTTTCCTTTTTTCCCACCTCTTAACCAAATTTTAACCATACCATAACCAATTCCCTAACAGCATAACTAACTTAACTAGTAACAAACTCCTAACTAATTTCTAACATTATCCTAACAGAATTAACTAACCACATAACCAACTCATGGCTTATTTTACAACAAACTTCCAGCATATATACATAATGGGGATTGACAGAAGGGAGGAGGATTCAACATAGAAAAAAAAGAATGATTTACCTCTCAATCATCTCATTCTGGAACGGGCAGAAGAATCACCACAAAAACCAGGAAAAGCTCTCTCATCTCATCTCATCTTCATCCTCATTCTTCAACTTCCAAAAGAATCAATAAAAACACCTGAACAAATATCTCTATCTCTCTGCAATCTTCTTGGATCCTTTCTCCATAACTGTCCCTCAATCGCATCTTCACAGTTCTTCAGTCATCATCTCACAACTTCAACCTCCACCATTTTCTCCGAACCTTACTCACATCACTCCATCGCCAATACTCCCCATTCTCTTCTTCAACATAAAAAACATCATCATCTTTGTTCTCTACACTACAACATGCAATAATAATGAATTCAAAAAACACAAAAGAGAAAAGTTGAATAGAAGAAGATGATCAACGCCACAACAACGCAGATCACACAGAGAAACAGAAGAAGAATAATAGAGTGAAGAATTCACCTCTGGTTTTCTTGGAATACCAGCATTGCTGAAGAACCACCGGAATCCTTTGGTAGGTAATCCTGGGAACTCATTCGATCTTTGATCTCCTCATATCTCTGTATAGCCTAGAGTATGTAGATTCAAAATCGCGGCGAATTCGTACACGGCCTTGTCCATCTTTTTGCACTTAGGTTTAGATTCAGTTTTACTGAAGAGAGATGGAATAAGAACACGGGAGAGACGAAGAGAAGAGAAGCAGGGATATGATGTGGTGTTGTCCGGCGGTTATGATGCTGAAAAGAGCGACGCCATGGTTGCGAGGTTGAGAGAACGACGCGGTGATGAGAAGAAGAGAGTGAGACGGAGCAACTCAGGCGAAGGCCGGCGGCGCCGCTGCTGTTCGCAAGTGGAGAAGAAGAGAACACCTCTCTCTTTTACCCTAACCCCTTTTTCAGCTTTCCTATATTTTATTTTTTAGTTTTAATTGTTTTTTTTGTTTTCTTTTTTCTTTTTGAATTATATTATTACATGTTTTATTCTTTTTATTATCATTTCAACAAACAAATATAATAATATGATTAATAATAAAATTAAGAATGATTAATATGGGCCAAACTAATCAATTCTTGGACTATGATTATTTTTATTTTTCTTACTGATTGTGTCCATTTTTGATGGGGCCTAATGTCATTGTATTTTTTGCAGCACATAGTGAATTTAGTTCGCACCTCCTGAGATCTTATTTCCCATACTCATTTCGATTGCGATTAATTTTGGAGATTTATTTTCTTTGGCAATATTGGTAAATAAAAGAGACTTGAGTGAGGAGTTTCATGAAGTTTCAAAGCTAGCTAAGAGCATAATTTTCAATCATTCGCTCAAGGAAGCTTTGATAGAATTCTCTTATGGCTTGCATGGTTATGAAGAGGCGACAGACCTTCTCCGTTCGGTATCGTCACAACTCTATTTTTACTCCTGCACTTTACCACTTTCTAGGTAGAATTCCCTCAAGAGTCTAACTTTAGGTCTAATACACGATAACATTAGATTTAGAAATAGACTTTCGTCTTCCTGTGACTTTCGTCTTCCTGTGACTTTCGTCTTCCTGTGACTTTCGTCTTCCTGTGACTTTCGTCTTCCTGTGACTTTCGTCTTCCTGTGACTTTCGTCTTCCTGTGACTTTCGTCTTCCTGTGAATTTTGTCTTTCTGTGAATTTCTTTCCTCCTTTGCATATGCAGTTAAAACAAAAAAAAACTTTTTTTTTACAAACTTCAAAAATACATAAAAATTTACTGACAAAAACCATGTCTTGGCTAAGTTTGAGAGATGATGAGCGGGTTTCTTCTCGACATTATTATTCTCTTGTTCTAAGCTTTGGTATGATTCAAGTCTCAAAGACTCATTTCATGAATAAATAGAGAAATGGCTAAAACCTCTCTTGAGGTTAACTAGCTATTATCTACAAGCAAAAATACTAACCAATATAAAAACTCTTTTTGCCCTCGGGCCTTTCTTTTAAACCCTTTTCAAAAGAGCGTATTAATTCACTTCTGTGCTGACGCGTAAATCTCCAAAGGTCGAGTTGCGGCAGAAGGCGAGATTAATACTGTTCGTTAAAGAAAATACAAACAAACAAAAACACATAAGCCGAACTACGGCTGCTCTGATTCCTTAAAACGGATACGTAGGCATTGGGGTAGGGCCCAGGCGAGCACAATTTTATTTTCCCTACATTCTTTTTCTCCTTTTATTTTGCATGCATTTTCCCTCCATTAGTATAGTAGACAGTAAGCATAGATTAAACACACCCATAAGTTAGATAACAAGAGTGGATACCGTAGAGTACTACGGGCGTGTGGGGTGCTAATACCTTCCCCTCGCGTAACAGACTCCCTTACCCGATCTCTCGGTCGCAAGACCGTGACTTCTCCCTCATCAGGTTTTCTCGATGTTTACCTTTCCCTACATGTGGGATAAAAGACGTTCGATGGCGACTTCATTGTTTGATGATTTTCAGCCGGTTGTTTCAGCTGGCGACTTCACTGGGGACTGGTCGACCAAATGCTGGTCCATCCCGGAGTCGCTCCTAGCTCTTGCTTTCTTTTCTTTGGGTGTTTATTTTTATGCTTTCAGTTTACTCATTTGTACATGTTTTCCTGAGCATAAGTTTGCATTGCATTTTATTGCTTTCTCTATTTGTTATCTATTATGTTGGACTCTGTTTTCCATGTTGGGTGGGGATGTCACTATTGAGGTAAAAGGCCCAGTACCCAGGCCAGAGTGCACTAGGACACTAGGAATAGAGTGGGGGCATGACGGCTATAAGACGTGGTTCGATTAGTGCAGTCTTGTTATATACCATGCTCGGATGAGGTTCAAATGAATTACTATGGGCACCCACGTCTGTGGGTAAGCCCATAGTACTTTCAGACGGACCCATGATTTTCGAGTTACCATTGTCTTACCCTGACCTAGTCTTCACCCGTGAGCGGGGAGGGAATTTTATCACAGGTACAGTTGGTGACTATGTTCAAATGGTTACTCGTGCTCAGTTGGTGACTATGTTCTGATAGTGACTGTTGTTCTGTTAGTGACTATATGGGTCTCAGATTTATTTATTTTTTGAGTTTCCGGATTCGGTATTCAGGATGCTTATCTAGTTATGTTCCGGACCTTTGATCCTGATATATTCCATTTGGTCAGAGATTATACAACGTTTAATCATGGTACTTGGTTCCAGTGTATGCTGAATTTGGTTCTGAACCTTGGATCCTGTGATATCCATATTATTCAGCAGATTTATACAGCAGTTATCCAGAGGATTGTACAATTGTTATGCCGAACTTTTGAACTTATGTCATTGCACCTTGCATCATAACATGTTTATTTTACATATAAAAGGAAATGTGAAAGATTATATGCAAAAAAAAAATGTTTGAACATGGCATTGCATCCTCTCATTCACCTCATGCATCCATAGCAGGTACTCCGAAGGTATTCAGAAAGGGGGAATCCTTATTCAGACTCGGTATTTTCTTTTCAGAGCTGCAAATCTTGACTTATCGTCGCTTCGTGGTCAGATTCAAGATATGGAACAACTTCGTGGGGAATTGGACGAGATGAAAGAACAGATGGGATTCGTGGTACTAGACATGCAGGATTTGGTCCGTGGACAAGAACTCCTGAAAGAAGAGAACACTCAGTTGAAGACTCAATTGAATTTGGTTATGGAAATTTTGGGGAAAATGTTGAAGAAAGAAGATGTTTCTATGCCTGCCACAATATGAGTTACCATTCCTCCCCATAACCTGAGGACTCTTGTAGGTCAGGGAGTATCTCCTCCGCAACCGTGCATTCAAGGACCCTCCCATCCGCAACAAGTTGTCACTTCCCGAGAGGACCCAAAAGGCAAAGCCCGTCAGTAGAGGCCAAAACAGCCTGAACGAAAATTTGATCCTATTCCAATGTTGTATGCACAATTGCTTCCTCCCCTGCTAGAATTACATTTGGTTAAACTCCGAATTTTCACTACACATGAAAAACGCCCTTATGGCTTTAACGACAATGCTAGGTGCGATTTTCATTCTAGGGCACCTGGTCATGATACTGAAGATTGCGTAGCTTTTAAGCACCAAGTCCAGGACTTGCTTGATGCAGGGACAATTCTCTTCACTCCCGAAGGTCTGAGTGTGCAAATCAATCTTATGCAAACCACTACAAAGAATAGGGCTACACCTTCTCCTCTTCAAAGTTCTATCTCACGATCGGAGTCACGTCATCCACAACCTATAATCCCGGAAAGTTCTCACCAGCAGTCGTTTGTAAGTTGTGGAAATCGGTTGGTTAATCAAAACCAGAATGTTCCTCGTGTTC